CCCGACATCGGTCCAGCCCTGTTAAGATGACTATTGTCCTTTTATGTAAATTATTCTGGATGTAGGGTACGCTTAATAAATGTCACGCAATCTCTGACACATAAACACACTCAAAAGATGAGAAGTATTCCTTGCATGGTGATTCAAACAAAAAAAAATGTATACTGTAAAAAAATTTGCCGAACTTGCATACTGTTCCTGTCAGGTCAAAGGGTAAATATCCTTGTGTGCTGGCGCAGGTGGATTCCAGTTAACTGACAGTGCACGAAAAACCAATAGCACCCCTCATTGAGGGGGTTTAGCTTTTGTTTTGTTTTGTTTTTTCTCCATGCTTCAACTGTTGTGGTCTGTCACTGCGTGGATGGAGAAGGTGTGAGGAAAGTAAGCATAAAAGAAGGAATGAGTGTAAGCTGTCCAGGGCTAGATGATAACAAGTCGAAGAAAAAAAATGAAGCAGGATGCAGCTCCCTAGTCGAATCACATTAGGTTCTGTGGGCGAGTGCACGTGTACATGTGTGTATACTTTGTGTGCGTGTGCGTGTGTGTGTTTGTATATTATGACAGGAGAACCTCTCCACCGTCTCTGCTCTGATGGTCAGAGGAGAGAGAGAGGAGGCAAAGCTTCTCGTCCACTGTGTTCATTCATACTTCTTTGTCTCTTTTAACAAACTTGCTTTCTAGTAGACACTCACAGGACCTTAATGATCCCTAAGCTGCTGAGAGCACAGGCACACGCCCCCCCCCCCATAGCAAAAGTGTGTTTCACAGAGGAAAAAGTCTGCTCACCTTCTATGAGGTTTGTGTGTGTGTGTGTGTGTGTGTGTGTGTGTGTGTGTGTGTGTCGCCCCAGAGAATCGCCCAGTGCCCTCTTGCTCACTATCTCTGCCTTGTTAACCCATTGAGGGCTCCCTCACACGGGATTTTCATTCTGCTTTCTGTGGTCTCACTGCTCTCTTTACACACACATACACTCACAAATGCACATACACGCACAGTAAAAGTTGTGTATCAATATATCTGGATGTCATTGTTTGCAACATAATGAAATAAAAATCTGTAAATATAAGTTATCTTATTTGTATGCTTTCTTTAAGGAAAGGAGGCGAAATGAGATGAAGGAAAACCTCGCGGAGTCTTGACAGAAATGACCACTGCAAAATGTCATAGTGAGGTCAGACACTGCAGCACACCTTCCAGTTCATCCCACATAGGAAGACATTAAAGGCACCCAAGCTTGCAAGGAGCATTTGTGACCGCAGTCTCCTCGTTCTATTCAGCCGTCTTTATATTCTCAACCATTTTTTAGTCCGTGTGACTGTAAGACTTTTGGTTGTTTCAGACAAATATAGATTAGTGGACAAGGAGACCAATGCCAGCCTGTGGCCCACAAAATGAAGTGTAGATGTAAATATAGGAGTTTGGTCTAATAACTTAAAATCATAAGAGAAAAGCGTTTTGAAAGAAATGGGTCACGAGAGACAAACTGGAAAAGCACTACTCTAGGCAGCGGATATTATTTATGTATGCCTATCTGTCTCTGGTGCACAGATGACGATCAGGTGCTACACTGTGGCATCTTTAAGTGACTTCAATCAGTCCTGACCTAGTCGTAGTTGGGATGAGATGGGGAGGATGTGGTTGAAGATGCCAAGTGTGATGTGGAGGGAACAGTATGATACGTTTTGACATTTATTCCTCAGGTACAGCCCGGTTACTGACATTGCAAGCTCAGACTGGAGAGGCAAAAACATCAGGAGGCAAAAAGGGACAGATCAGACCCCCTTATCAATTATGTACGGTACCCCAGCCTACTTCTGTGTTCACACACACACACCTGCTCACTCACCCACACAGCAATTACTCTTTCTCTGTGCTCTGCGGTATCCTGGCAACAGTTTCCAGGATTGCCAAGTGTGCGAGCACCACACCTTGCTCTGTCCTGCAGGTCTGAGGGGGGAGGAGCGGGGGGAGTAAAGAAGGATGCAGATGCCAAAAACTAAAGTTATTACAGCGCAAGGGGTCGCATCGTAAAAGGACACCGACGACGAAAACTGTTGTGCGAGAAGTGGCTTCACGGGACTTAATGAAAGGATAATAAACCTGTCTGAGTCTGAAACTCTTGTTTCTCAACAGAGGCACTGGAGTAGAAACATTGGCCTACATCTGCCAGCCACCACTCTCTCTCTCTATCTCTCTCTATCTCATGCCTTGCACACACTTTCCCCTCATGCAAGCTAAAGACATCAAAACGGGGAGAGAGAAGCTCACTTTCTCATTCATATTTCTTCTTCTAGGTCACCCATTTCTCTCCATGTGACAAAACTAGCAAAAAGAGAAAGGAGCAGCAGAGAGGTATAAGCCAGCATTGATTCCGATAAACTGGCGTGATATGGGAAGTGTTGAGGTTTCAAGGTCACTGTATACAACAGACTGGTCTCTGACAGATGCAGCAGTATCGATTCTCTCTGAGAGGACTTAACAATTTCATCGGGCAGGCTAGATTTTTCTTTATTAACATACGCAGACGGATACTAGTAGTTTCATGCGCAGACCGAGACTCGGACGGCTGCAGGGTCTGTGTTAATATATAGGTTTGTGTGTCATTCCAGTATATCCCTCTATAGTTTACGTGAGCGGCATTCTAATCCCTCCGAAGCCTGGGGAGGACGGTGGAATGAGCCATTTCTTTTACAGGATGTGGCGCTCTCTAGTGGTAGCATGTGTTGAGAGGTCCATGTCCCTAAAAGGAAAGAAAGCTGCCCGTCTCTCTGCTCTCTGCCATGGAAAAGATAACCTTGTCGGTAAGATCCAGATGGAGACAGTAAGTGAGTCATGTTGATCAAGTCTAGGATTAGGGTTGTAATTAAGTTGTGGTTAGAGTAAGAGCAAGTGTTTGTCACCACAATTAATCCAAACCTGATAATGTGTTAATATCCAAGAAGTTTACAATTTCAACTTTTCACCCAAAGAAATCGACCAAAGAAGGGCGAGTGGCGATAATATAAACCGCCTTTGTGGATGTTTTGTGATTAAGTTTTGATTGTAAATTATATTTTTGGGCCCTATTTTGTGTGTGAGATATGTTAAAAACCGTCTGCTATTGACGGGCACTATTTTTGCACATTCATGACATACAATACAAACAAATCCTTGAGTTCTTAGATTAATGAAAGCCAAACAATTCAGGTTTTATTTTCCCTCTCTGTGACTCCACACACACTCTGCTCAGTGTAATTGAGTCCCCTGTATTGCATTGCTTCCTCTTTGTCTCTCTGTAGATCCACTAGTGATGCAGCACTTCTAACTGGGTCAGCCCCATCTCTGCCTCACGTCCCTCCCACCTCACTGTTTCTCCAAGCCACCCCTCTCCTCCTCCTCCTCTGTATATGCATAACATCCCTATGGACTTGTTTTCTTGCAGCTCATGTGCTTACCATGTGCAGCAGCTCTCTTCTCCCTATTCTCTCCCTTCTCCCCCTTTTCTGCCTCATTCATTTTGTGTCATCCACACTGCAATACAGCCTGTTGACTCTCACACACACGCACACTTTACATCTTGCATTACAGTTGTTTAAATACAAACCTGGCCAGCCAATGGTTTGACAGTCTAAAGAGAAGCGGTGGTAGTAGGTTTGTATGTACGCATGGCGTGGCGGAGGCAGCTCTTATGCTCTTCTGATCTGCTGTTTTGATTGGCTGAGACGGTCGGGAGCCTGTGATGTTAAGGGATATATAAGACTGAGCGGTGTCCAATCAAAGACTGTTACCGTGCAGCAACACGTACACTACATACATGCATCTGTATACATATGTAGACAAACGCATCACTGTAACATGAACCATTAATCATAACAGAGATTTTATTTTCCCCTGAGGCAGATATATTGCACAAACTACCACATCATGCATCACACGTTGCATATAATTAGACAGCAGAACACATCCATCATTGGTCACAGCATCGCAATATGCAACATAAGAAGTAGACCACATGCACCACACCAGATGGAAATAAAAAAGAGAGGAAATGCTTGTGATGCTAAATATTTTTTCAGTGTGTGAGACCGAAACAGTGGGTGTGAGTTGAAAAAAATCTGTAAAAGAGATGCAGTAAACTGAAACGAAAGGTAAAGTGAAACGAATGACATCATAAAAGAGAGATAGAGGTAAATAACAAATAAGAAACTGCAGGTTCTCATTCAGACATATCCTTACGTCTTTTGGTTGTCACTTAATGTCAATTATTTTTGGCAAGGGAAATGTAAAATAATTTATGTATTTCCTTAAAAGAAAAGAAACTAAAATATATCTGCTTTGTTTTGTAAATTCAGCAGCCTATAATCTCATAATAGCTGTTAATCTAAATGTTGATCTCAATATATGCTTCTACACATTATCTGGGATAATTTAATAAAACCACGTTAGTGTCAATACCCCCACACACCATTTTAATTGTAAAATTGAAGAATTTATGGTGAGAAAATAAATCCTTGTTTGTATTTAATTGCTTAAACTTGTTAACGTATTACTATGGTTGCTACATGAGGCTTAAACATTAACCAACTGAATAATAATATTGACAACCGCTCATTTTGGTCGGCTGCCTGTCCTCAGTATCACACGCGGTCACTAGTAAGCCCCGCCCCTCGTCGTTTGATTGACATCTCTGATCCCGAGACAGCAGGGTGGCCAGTCACGCTCTCGCCATGCAAATGAGCCGCGCTCGGGCCGGGCGGGTGCCCATGTGGACCAGCACCATGCCTTGTTGTTCTGAGCGCTGATTGGCTCTCCGGCGACTGATTGTTCTTCATGCGCTGCGGGCCAGCGGCGAGGACGAAAACACGGAGCATCGGTGACATGGAGCGGACATCTCTTTCTCGACTCCCACGGAGGTCCGCGAGTATATCGTTACCCCTTTTTGATCCAGGTTTTTTTAACAGAGGTTTAGATAGTTTTAATGTAAAGTTTGACGTGATTTGAGAGAGCTAAAGGTTAGCGCTTAGACGACAGCGCGGAGTCGGAGGGAGTGATGCGGTCGCCGGGTTTTGTCAGAGGCCGTAGTAACAGGGCGGGGCAGGAATCTGGGAGGGCGGGCCCTAACGAGAACACGACTCGCCTTGTTGTGTGTATTCCCGTGCTCGCATCGCCATCTTGTTGCAATCCTATTTTTTTTTTTTTTAACGTATGCGAGGATCTACTTTCCGTTCGGCCGGATTAAAAATCGACCGTCTGGTTTCAGGAGCAACACACAGGGGACGAGAAGCTCGGGCCTGTGGGTGTGAACCGTGCACACGGCGCTTCCTACCGGGACACTGCCTACCTAACCCTCTCGGTCTTTTTCCTCCTTCCGTCCCGAGCCACCGGGTCGCCTGTCGTGAGGGTTTTACGCGCAATGAGCATCGACACACTTTTGGAGGCGGCCAGATTTCTGGAATGGCAAGCCCAGCAACAACAGATCACACGTGGTGAGTTCAACAGCAGACTGGTGCATCGCGCGGATCGTACGTGACAGTGCGGGCTACATCCTAAACTGCGTTTTTAGGGGGGGACCGTATCCCGTTACTATCGGCGACCGGGGCTTGCATTTTCAACCGACCCATGAACAAAAAATCTGCAGTTTTTGTTCATGCAAAAAAAAAAAAAAAAAGACTGAAGTCCCTGCAAACTATCTGCGCATCCCGAGTCGCTAATTGTTGCACAAATGTGTCTTCCCCTAATGCGGAAACGGTCAAAGTTGTTTTCGGAACTACTTTGCGCGCTCGCGGTGTGTGTGCATGCGTATGCGTGTGTGTGTGTGTGACAGTTTGAACACTATTGACTCTCCGTACATGCGTGTGCGTACATGTGTGTGAAGAGTTCCTGTCAGTAACCGTGGTCCATTTATCTGTTGTATCTTTGTCGTGTAGTATCTCACTGTATGGTGTGCGTTTATGGCAGTGTATAGACATGTAAAAGCTCAAATACACGTGTTTCCACCCCCCAAATCTAAAATGAGTGCTCGTTTCCAACAGAGGTTCACATCTGTTACAAATAAGCTCTTACAATCGATTTGCCCCATTTCTTTTTCCCTTTTTCTTGCCCGTCGAGCCCTGGCAGGGCGGTGTCGAGCAGAGCTCTGCTCTTTACATAATACCCTGACATTGCTCAGCTATCTTGTGACACACACACACTGGGGCGGGCCCCTCACGCGCTCACCACCTCCCTTTTTTTGTTTATCTGCATGCGAGCGTGCGAACATTTTAGACTATTTGTTTGCGTTCCTCATTTGACACGATGAGTCAGTCGAGGTAAAGAACCGTGACTCGCTGGGGGGGGTGCTTTTCTCGTGTTTCTCCCCTCTGATGACGTGTCTGACAAATCAACCCCCTTCCCCCCGCATACTTGCCCTACCGCGTGCTAGGATCCGCCCACAACGACCACGTGCACACGCCCCCCCCCCCCCTCCTCTTCTAGATACACACCTACGCGCACGCACGCACTCCTCGTCCCCGCCCTTCCCATTCAGTCTACTGACAGTGGCGGGTCAGAGAGAGAGAGAGAGACCCAGCCTCTCAATGCATAACTTATATTTACCTTTGGGTGCACTTGCCAACTCATAGCACGGTTTATGTGGATTGTACTACAAAAGTTAAAAAATAAAGTTTTTTTTGTATACACCAGTAAATGTCAACATACGTCAGTATGTTGGACGTTATTTTTGACTTCTGCTACTTGGCCCCTCTATGTCAAATTTAGATTTTTTTGTGTGTCCTATTTGCAAACTAAAAAAACAACTGTACTATAACACCAGTGTATCCTTTATAACTAGAACCAAGCAATACAGTTGCACTAATCATGGTCTCATAAAGGTATTTTTTAAATATTCATGTGTATCAAAATATGGGACGCGTATGCAAAATCTAAAGCAATGAACGGTGTTGGCCTGCTATACATGACAGGAGGCTAAACTCTACATGACTGTAAAGCAGAGACTTTCTCTTAGTTTGTGTCTCAGCGTCTGGATAGAATAAATATCTGGAATTATACGATTACGGCTGCAACAAATGATTCTTTTCTTGATTAATTGAAAATCAGAAACCACAGAATGAGTGGCGTTTGATTTCAGCTCTAGGTACTACGATGATATCCCATGCAGTCCGACTTTAAACCAAGCGTAGTGCTTCCCAAAGAGGGAGTTGTACTTCCACTGCTCAGCAAGAAGAGATGTGAGCTCATGAATAATTCATGAGCTCACATCTCTACTCCGAGGAAGCCCTATTAATAGACAACTCAATTGTTGACAAATCCCACAAATTAAAACCCCGACATGAGTGATATTTTTAAGGCACGTACATCACACTTCTCCAAGGTGAAGAAGGCCGGCAGGTGAGAGGAGAATTGCGTCCTCAGAGGTTTGCAGTTTCACGTGGAGAAGAACTGAAAGTATTACTTAACAGGCAGCCAGGCATGTTGCCATGTGGTGTCTCTATTTCCTCTGTAATGGTGGAGATGGGTGGGCAGTGCTTTGGTGTCGTGCAGATTTGAGGAATCCCTGGGATCGTCTGTTTCTAATGCTGCTGTTTCCATAGTGACAGAGGGCTTTCCACAGTCGGCCTGGTGCGGTGTGCAGTAACTACTCACTCACAGCATTTACAGTGTGTGTAAGTGTGTGCTGCGTACTCGACACGAGCACAGCGTGGGAACATTCCCGCCCTACGATGGGACTTTTTAGATTTAAACTTTTGGTCTTTTCTTTTTTGTTTGCAACGAAGCTTAATTTATATGTTGACCAGCAGAGTGGCTCCTTGACATCAGTCCTTATGCTGCTGGTCAGACGAGCCTGACGTAACCCAGCATGCTCGGAGCTGGGACGGTCCAATCACAGCGCAGACAGGGGGGGGGGGGTTCTCTCCAGTCAGGGAACGGATGCAGACTTGATTTCTCTGATTATTTCCCCACGATCCAATTGCCTGATGGTGTGTGTGAGAGTGAGAGTGAGAGTGAAAGTGAGAGTGAGAGTGAGAGAGAGAGAGAGAAGACTAAACCTTTACATCATTCGTCTGATGTTGATAAATTATAAGTTATTGGTGATGTCCAGTAAGTATGGACGTTTGTGTGTCTGTGCATCTGTGTCGTTGCATAATGTCTGTTAGGGTATGAAAAGCAGATTTATAAGTTTATCTTAAATCTGAACTCCTCTTCCAACCACTCTCATCCTCTGTCTTCATTTGTACGTCTTCTTTTCCCGCCTCCACACAGAAGAGGAGCAGCGCAGAGAGACGGAGCTCATCAGCCGGGAGGCAGAGTCGCGGCGCGCGGAACTTGTGACGGCGCTGTCTCAGCCAATCAGAGCCAACCACGTTACTTGGGGCCATGACACTCACCGCCAACAGCCGCACCACCCGCCTCCCCCCTCTCTCCCACCTCCTCAAGTCCCCATCGCTGTCATCCCAATGGTCCCAGTTGTCACCGCGACACCCTCTGTCCCGCCTTTTCCGCTTGCAACGCAGATTGCGGTGGCGGCAGCAACGTCGTTCAACGGCTCACTGCCAGTCAAGATGGCTTCCTCCCCCCCGCAGCAGCAGCAGCAGCAGCAGCAGCATCAGCCGCCCTCTTCTCACCTGTTGTGCACTCACCAGATTAAGGTAGAGACCAGTCCGCAGCTCATTAGTGTAAAGCCCGAGGTTCAGATTCAGTACTCGGCCTCCATCAGCACTAATGGATCTGGCTCTCTACATGCACTGGTCCCCCATCAACTTTCACCTTCAGCTCAGCCGCGGCCTAACGGAGTGACGATGGAGGACCTGAGGGGGATGGAAGGGAAGAGGAGACCAGGAGGGTCAGTTTGTGTGTGTGTGTGTGTGTGTGTTAAAAAGTATACGTTGTATTGTCATCAATACAACGTATGGTTGTATTGATGATTTATTTTGTGTTTCCAGAGCGGGGACCAGAGAGGTGCATAATAAACTGGAGAAGAACAGGTTAGTCATAATAAACTACTTGTTGTTGTTGTTGTTGTTGGTCTCATCTCATCATAAATAAAGGAAAGCAGCCATGTTTGTTTGATCTTGACCACCACGTTCTCACAAAGTTTTGTGTTTTTTATCACGGTTGTCGTGAAAGAGTTTCATCAGCCCAAAAGTAATGACATTTCCTCAAGCCATGCAAAACCATGAAGTCCGTCTCAGGCATGTAAAATTGGAGTCATGAGGTCTCTTTTTGATGACCGCAACTTGGTTAAACTCTCAAGCTTTTGCTAATTGATGGTGAATACTCTCCAAGACAGTAAGCTGATGACAACCATATCAAAAAGTTTGACCCTTTCTCGTTTCTGACTCTTGGCCCTTCAGGCGAGCACACCTCAAAGAGTGTTTTGAGATGCTGAAGAAGAACGTTCCAAATGTTGATGAGAAGAAAACCTCCAACCTCAGTGTGCTCCGCAGCGCTTTGCGTTACATACAGGTAGAGTTTCAACACATTTTCTCAGCTTTCCCGGCATGGAAAAGGCTGAAAGCCTTAACATACACTGGTGCGACACATTATTCTGGGTGCTGCTCGCTGCTTGTTTTGTCATCTTATTGGTTTCATCTTTCTCCGGTCTTGAACGGATCGGTTCAGCTCAAGGTACAGCTCAGGCTTTGCTCCCCTGCAATTGATAAACGATGCTTGTTTGTTCGCCATTCAGCCCTTTTTTTTTGTGTATTTAATTGACATTTCTATCAAGTGTTGTTGTGTAACTCCATCTTCTAGTCATATAGTGTCATGAAGTGTGTTATAGAAAAGGCTCTGGTTCTCCCAAGAACTAAATAACTAAAGAATAAAGGAGTAACATTTTTGGGGGGAGTTGGGTGAAGAAGTAGCATTGCATTGCTGCGGGTGGTGTGTGTGTGTGTGTGTGTGTGTGTGTGTGTGTGTGTGTGTGTGTGTGGGAGGGAAGCCTGGAGAGGTGGGTTTTTAGAAGAGGGAGGACTTCTGCACTGTGGCAGAAATGAATGGCAGCCTGGAGCCAGATTCAGTGGCTCCTTTTTTTTTTTTTTTTTTTTTTTTTTTTTTTTT